GCAGGGCCAGGTGCGGGGGGCTACAGCCCCAAGCAGCACAGCCCGTGTGCCGGGTCAGCGGGCAGCCACCCCTTCCAGCTCAGCAGGAGGGAAGGGAGGCTGGTCCAGGACCCCCAGAAGCCGTGGGTACCCCCCCGGGCAGTGCTCCGGCCGGAGCTGTTCCCTGCAGCCCCGCTGGGACAGTTCAGTAGATGAGCTTCAATTAGTGACCGTTGCTCCAATGGGGCAAGATGTAGCAAATCTCACCACAGCAGCCTCTGCAGCTGGGTGCACGGGCGCTGCTGGAAACAGCTAACTGGAAACATTAGAAGTTCAGGTTAAAAAAAAGCTCACAAAGCTGGACAAAGCCAGCCCTGCTCCTGCCTTGTTTGCTTGTACTTGAGTTGTACTTCCAGAAAATCCCCCGGGAAATGTCTGCCTTTGAGATTTTATAACCTGCGGACCCATCTACCAGTGGCTTTCACCATGCACGCTGCCCGTCCCCGTGGGAACTTCTAAAGTCTTCACCAAAAGGTGGCATTTTTAAGAGTCCGTCGTTCAAATGGGACTGGAAACCATGGTCGCAGACTGCTCGCTTCAGTACTCTTCAAGAACGGTGTAGCTTACAAGTGTCAATACTCGACACTGAAATCACTTATACTCAAGCAGAAGAGGCTCAACACTTGTGGAAATGGTACCATCACATTTTGTCCAAAGATGGACGAGTCCTAATGAGGACACAGGGCCATTTGACAGAGTTTAAACGCTGTTTGCTGACCATGAGACACAGCAAGTTGTACCAGGTTGTGGTATTCAGGTATTACCACTAACAGCAGCAAGATGAAAAAAAAAAGTGTACAATACCCTCACCAACAGGAAGGATGTACAGCATTTGCCATTACATCACTATCTACTCCAAAAAACCAGGGGGAAACAATTTTAAAGAAATAGCTTCTATAAAATAAAGCTTCTGCTGCCAAACACTATTGTTAAATCTTTGCTGTTGGCAGTGATCAGCTTTTGCTGGCCTAGGAGCCATAGTAATACCGAGCAACGTGCCACAGACAGCTTTGCTCTCTGCCAGTATTATTTTTCCCGTGGATGTGAGCAGTGCAGAGGCAGGGATAGCTGTTGGACTGGGCTGGCTAGAAATAAGACAAATAAAATCCAACTAATTTAAGGTCTTTTGAATACTTCCTTCTACTTCACCCATTACTTTAAACTCTATTGAAGGCAATGCATGAAAGACAGACATTTTGTCTGAAAACACATTTTTGTAATTTATTAAATCTGTACATACAGTTAGCTGGTACTGTTCACATTAACATCTTTTTAACCTGCTCCTCCATCATCCCTCCCTAGGTCAGCAGTCTGCTCTACTGAACAAACGGAAGGCAAAGCCCTTTGCCTCCTTTGGTAGCCTGAACAGCAGTGGTTCCATTTCACTCAGCACTCAGCTGAAAGACTCAGCACCCAAAAGACAAGTTTGATTATTTTATTTAAAATTAAACATTTCTTTCTGTTCAGCTACTGCATGTAGAGCCAAACATTGTGTCTGATCAGGACAGGAAAAAATCCTCCACGAAAAACTGATCCAAAATTAGAGACTTTAACAGATACCAAGGCTGTCGGAGAAACAGCTTCTCAGATGTTGCCTCAGAACGGCAGGATTTGGGTTTATGCCGAAGCTTTTTACCATTTTAAGCTCAAAGTTGTTTTTATCTGTTGTGAAGAGAGGTTTTGTTGTTACTGGACAGTTATTGGTGTTGAAAAACAGCAATGATTTTGCTTAGTTGTAGTTGCACTGATTTCACTGGGCATCAGGAGGTTCTGTTAAAAGCTAAATCTTTCATCTGTTAATCCAGACAGCACTGTGCAAGTCCCAAGTCAATACAAAAACAAAATTAAACAAATCAGAGAAAGCTCCTTGGAAATGCATGGGTAGGAAAAAAAAATCTAGATGCTTCACTTGAGATTGTCGCTTTCTTGAAGAATGCCTTTAAAAAAACAGGAGAACATCTCAGAACAATCTGAAGACCCAAGGACCTTGGTCAACTGATTTCTGCCCTCAAATACTGGCTTCATCACTCCAGGTCAAATTTGCAGTTTCTACCACTACATGTGGTTTTTCACATCAAATCACCATAATTAACATTTGTAAAGTGCTTTGAGATAGTGCTACGAAAATACTAACAGTTAAAAGAAGGGCAGAACATCTATTATCAGCACCTAGCTGATTATTACTACTTGTTTTTTTTCCCCTCAGAGCAGCATCACTATATTCTCCTTTGACTTCCTATTAACAAAGAGTAAGGTGCCAGTGTTGGAGATGGCACACAGGCAAAAGGAGTTTCTGCAGGGCAGTGAAAGAAGGATGTATTGGAAAAACATGAAAATGTCCTCTAGAAAGATGAATGAAGCAGAGCTCCAGAGAAGGATGGATATTTACTTCCCAGCTACATCAGGAAAGCAGTGCCACATGCAGATTTGTGTGCACAAAACTACGCAGGAGGCTTTAGATAGCATAAATATTTGCCAAACAATGAGAGAGGTGGTACTAATCTCAAAAAACCCCCCCCAAAACCCACCAAACAGAAACAAGACATTGATGCTTTTTGGGGGAGGACATGACTGCTTGTTAGAAGCTATTGCCTGAGGGCTGTTAACTACTTAGTAGTAAAATCCTGCTACTTTCCAGTTGACAGTAACTTCTCTCTAGTTAGCAGCTTCTCAAAAGCAATCCTTGTATGAATCCATATAGCTTTCCCAGATTTTTAAAAGGTTAATTTTTTACCATTATAATTGCACTTTAAAAACAGCATCGCTCCCTATGCACTCTCTCCAAACACCTCCTCAATTTATAGAAGTGGAAAGAAAGGCTACAATTATTCACTGTCCTACAGCTACCAGGATTTGAAAGGTTTGATTTAGGTGCCTGAAGAAAGGATGGAAACACCCAGTTTTCAGGTCAGGAAAAGTGTGCATTTTAAAAAAAAAAACCAGCAGGCTTCACAGCTTGGCTTGCATCGGCTTCAGGTGTTTGTGGAAAGACTCATGAACCTGTAAGAGGACAAGACAGTGGTTATAACAAGTTCAGACCTGAGCTTTAAAACAGTTTTAGCTCTTTACATCTTGCAGTGTGTTTTTATACTACGGAAATTTTAATCAAAGGCACTTTGGGGATTTAAGAACAGCCAGCTAAGTCCTGTATTTGAGTGTCTATGATACAAAGGATGAGAATATAAGCCAAAACAAATAGCTTCCCTACTACCTTTCTTGTAAGAAATGTCTTATATCCATACAGACAATTCTCTGGCATTTTAATTCAAAGAAAACTGGTAGAGGTCTCCTAAGGGGACCATAATGAAGCTCCTAAGACCCACTGACTTCAGAAGCACAAAAAATTGAGCAAGTTCCAGTGGGATTTAATTACAATCGCAGTCTCTGGCAGCCCATCATAGGAGATAGTCTGTCCAAATCAAATAAAGGCAGTAAAGGCCACCGAGACAGGATTTAGAGTTCTCTTTTGGCTGATGGAAGAGGGACACTGACTCTTCTCAGCTCAGTTTCTTTTATTAGCTCAGCTGTAGCGACAGCCTTAGGGCAGATATGCAACACCTGACACTTAAGTACTACATGAGAGCAATTTATTTTCTTCTCCAGTCACCACTACTGCCGGAAGGCATTGAAAGATTTCCCAGAAAACAGGTAAGGCTTTCACAGCTACTGTCACTATGCAGAATTAACAGCAAGTGATAATTCCTTTAAAATTAAATGAGATTATTCAATTGTTTCTCTAGGGAAAGTATGGTTTCCTCCCTCAACTGAGAAACTCAAAAAAGCATCCCACAGGGATGCACGTGAGAGACACATGGGAGAGTAAGTGAAGAAAGTATGCTGAAAGCAGAAGAGCAGAAGTAGGTTGCTAGTTTTGGTCCATTACCACTAGTGACTTTTCTCCCCAATTCATCAATTACGTGCCGAGATCACTAGATCAAAATTAAAAAACCCTAAATTGGGTTATTTCCCTGGACACATGTGACCTAAAGATGAAAAAATAAAGTTTCTTTACCTCTGTTTTGTTCAGTGGGGATTTCTTTGCCCACTCAAACATGTTCTCGTAGACATTGCCATCATACCGGCCAAGCACAGATCCAAGATGAACATCATGGAAGTCAAAGGCGTCTACCAGTGCTATTGCGTTGGGACGAATTATAGCTAAGAGTTCTTTCACATGCTGGTTCACTTGAGTAATTTGGGCATTGGTCAGAATACCCGCCTTGGAAAAAAAAGAGGTTGTCAGAAGAGTATGCAACTCGCAAGAACTCCCTTCCCCTGTGGTCTAACATAGGTCAGCCTTCCCCCACACAAAAATGCAGCAGTTCATAAAACACGAGTTTTTCTTCTAAGTGCTAAGTAATCAATTGGCAATTTGCCATAGTGTACAAGCAAAAGGAGATGCCTAGCATAGCCCATGCTATGGGCTATGCTACATAGCCTAGATATTTAATCTTTCATGGGAGACTCATTCTTTAGAGTGCCTGTATGTTAACTTCAGTAGCAAGTTTTCTTGAAGAATGTGCATATATGTATATTAAATTCTTCCTGGTTTCAGGGAACTTTTTGGTAAGCAGCAAAGAGGAAAACAGGAAGACAAAGCATACCGCATCTGCCTGAAGACAAAATAAAACACTGCTGCACAAATACATTCTCAAACTGAAAGAATGAAGAGAAGTAATGCCTGACAATTTAAACCCATTCACTGAAGGATGGGTTCAGATTTGGAGTACAATATCCCCCTTTTGCGCACTAATTTACAAATGCATACAGCTCAGAGCATGTCTAACTTGCATCTCCTTTATTAACTCCTTGTTTTTTAACAAGCAACACCTGGTCATCAACTGGAAAACATTTAAGCTAACCTAGACAGATGCCATGTTACCATTTATCATCCAACTCTGCTCCTGGCAGATCACAAGGGAAACGTGACAAGAGCCTTCCATCAAACCTGCACTGCTAATGGCCTCCCAGCAGTCAACAGTCAAGACCTTACGCCTAAGCATTCGTGCAACTTTGTATTTAAAGCATCTTTGCAAACAATTACTCTGGCTCTAGAGATTTAAAGTGTTGGAGAAAGACACCAACCTGCAAGAAATCTCCTGTGTTCTTACTGATCCCATACAGCGCATACAGGAGACACAGCTCAGTCATGACAGCACGGACAGCTGCATTACTGATCTCAGACAGCTTTGCTGTGAAAAGCTTCACTACCACATAATGACAGTGTGCCTAGAAGAAATGAAAGGAAGGTGAATCAGGTTCATGAAGAGATGAGAAGCTCTTACAACATATTTCTTTATCAGGCACATCACTGACCTCAGATGCTCGCACAAGATCAACAGAAGTTCTGTTCCAGGCATCCTCCTTGCTCTTTCTGTGGTTCAGTTCAGCTTGCAAATTCTTTGCTGCAGCTTCTACAAGCCTATTTCATAAAATGAAGAAAAACAGGTTATGCAATAACACCACATTAACAAGATTATATACACTGAATTAATATGAATTTCAGTCTAACACATCAGAAGAACTCACAGGTCGTGGGCCACGACTGAATACATTGCCTGGAGTGAGCAGTTGTGGCTCTAAAGCCGCTATCATCACTGCTGCAGCCAGAACACAGCTACAGAGGGGTAAAACGACATTTGACAGCACATATGTGGTGCTTGAATACTTACTCACATGTAGATATCTGTTCTACTCTCACACTTCCTTCACAACAGGCTTTAATATCAGGACTGTTTCTCTCCAGATAGATCTCCGAGCAGTTTCAACAATGTTGGTATTTGTATGCTCAAATACACTTTACATTTAAATAAGAAAAAGATATTTCACAATGGAACAGAGCAGAGTAACTAGGCTATGCATAGGCTGTATGTAGCCTCTTGTAACCTCAAAGCACTTAACACTGACGCAACCTAGTAAAGTGTGTCACTTCTTGAAAGCAACACATAGAGCAAAGCTTTGCAAACCACATCTTGAGAATCTAATGTTACCAGGGCAGCACATCACTACCATCTCCCAAGACACACAATTTTATTGGTGCTTGGCTCAGTCTAAGAAGTGTGAACTCACCGGGCAGCACGTGCTTTGTAGGCCTCTACCAAGCTGACTGGATCATTGATCCGCACAGTCACGGTCCTAGCAGCCACATGCTGTGGCTGAATGCGTTGCCTGGAGAGATCATTAAGGTAGGACACCATGCCAGTAACCCGCTGCCCAGAACTAACTTGGGTGTAGCTTTTGACAAGGAACCTGAAAATAAAGGCAACAAATAGCAACTCATACTCATGAGCTGTTTGAATGGAGAGAAGTCATCTTACTTAGGGTCAGACTAGCAAAGAACAGTTGTAGGCATATACTTTTCTGTCAAAAATTGGGCAAGGGACAGAAACATGAGACACCAGTTTTATGGTAACAGGGGATGCTCTTCTGCTCATCACTTCAGCTACAAAGATCGTAATGCCAAGGCAAGAATGCCTCTGGACAGAAGCTACCATACCGAGCTGTCTGCAGCATCATGACTGTGTTTTCTCCCTCATAGGTGCAGGTAGGCATATACTTTTCTGTCAAAAATTGGGCAAGGGACAGAAACATGAGACACCAGTTTTATGGTAACAGGGGATGCTCTTCTGCTCATCACTTCAGCTACAAAGATCGTAATGCCAAGGCAAGAATGCCTCTGGACAGAAGCTACCATACCGAGCTGTCTGCAGCATCATGACTGTGTTTTCTCCCTCATAGGTGCAGGATGGGGTGAATGTGACATAGATTGAATGCCACTGCAGCGAGAGTAGCCATGCCCACCACATGCCATCCGACATTCCTCAATACCAGCATTGGCAGTCCAGGAAGTGAACGCCTTCAGCCCTGCTGTCAGTGCATGGAGCTGATGGACAAAAGCAAAGCCAGTTTAGATTTTTTATTTTCCATTCTTCGCTTGCACACATACACACTAAGTACTGCAGCTCCCAGAAAAAAGTAGAGTCAACACCATTCTTCCAGTGTCCCACAGGGTCTTGTTTTTCTTGTAAGGACTCTTTCCTGAGCTGAACTATTTATATGAAAGCCTCTATATATGTAAAGATTTCTTTTGAGTACCCCATCCTTTCTGTCTCTACGCACTATGTCCAAGACTGTTTTCAATTGCCTATTTTCACATTAGGTTCTCAGACAGAATCCCTAACTGAAAACTGACGTTTTACAACCCCAACCCCTCAGTATAGTACTGATACCTCTGATCAACACACCAGTTCTACCCTAGTGACTTGGAAGAACAATCAAGAAGCTACAGCACAAGCATAAGATCAGTCTTAACTCCACTCCCAAGCGATATGCCATCATTCCTGGGAAGTCACCTTTTTAAAAAATATATTCACAGTAGCTTTCTCACTGTGCATTACTCCCTGTTTTTTCCTAAGGGGCTGCTAAAGGAATAGTGCAAATAAAGAAATAAAAGTCACCAGCACATACTGGGTTTGGGATCTCTCAATCTAAAGACTTACAAGTTGTCTCATGAGTGAAAGCCAAAAAAGGCTTCATGCCTTTTCTCCCATGCTGTAAAGAAACCTTACATAAAATCAACAGTACCTCTGGCAGTTCACTCAGATCCCCTTCATTGATGTCTCCACTAATACGACGGTAGGTGTCTTTTATGTAGGCTCCCACAAAGTGAAAAGCATATGCTGTTGCCAGGAGAGGAAAGAGTTTGTATTGTTGGGTCTGATAATCCAAGATCTGGGGTTCTGGTTCCCTAGAGCAAAATACAGATGAGTTAGTATGCCAGTGGCTACAAACTGCTGCAGAAGTTCTAGTCAACTCTAAGTAGGTTCTCCACTTGGACAGCACAAGCTGCATCCATATCAAGCCAGACTATCTAAGACCATACAGCAAAAGCCTCTGGCAGGGGGGAAGGCATTTTGGTAGTCAAGAATGAAAGACTACTCACTTCCTGGGATGAAACAATGTTTTTTGAAACTATCAAGTGCCAAAGCAAACAATATCAACCACAGTCTCTCTTACCCCCAGTATTTGGAAATTTTCCTTCAGCCCTTAGGCTGCTCTTTTATCACCATACTTACCCCGGCTTTAGCTCAGACTGGTGTCGCACTGCACTATAGCGGATGGCAATGGTACAAGCCCGGGACAGGGAGCGAGCTGAATCGCCTACAATGAGAGATCGGATGAACACCATGGTCCCGTAGGTCAGCTTGTCACTAAGTGGTTTCACATAGGTGCCATCTGGTTCAACCTACCGAAAAAAAAACCCAACAGCCTGTTGATTTTTAACATTTCCTCCCTTTTACACGTTCACATCTTAAGTTCTAAACTCATCAAGTTTAGCAACTTGGAAGCAACTTACAATCTTTTTGGTACACTATTCAACCACACATGAGCATTTGAACTGTCCATTTCTAACAGCATATGCTGAAATTCACTGCTTTACCTGGGCATATTTCATCAGCATGTTTTCCCGAGGAATTCTGAAGTTGTCCATTTTCAGGTAGCCATTATCCATTTCATCATAACCAAATTTTGGCCCAATGTCACCCACTGTAATACCTGCCACAGACAAAGCCACCTGCATTAATAAATAGGAACCAAACACCACATGAGAGGTTCAAGGCTTCTCCAGTAAAGAGACTGTTTAGTTTCCTAGCAAGTCCTGGCATTGTTAGGAGTAACAGCTAACTAGGACCTTAATCTCTTTGATGGAAAGTGAACATAAAAACATGGGGATCTTCATAATTTACATGCAGTCCTACTATAGAGTCACTGGGAGAGCTGTCTCTAAAGATTATCCAACTCACTTCTAGCTAGAGGATGATGAAAGGTATTCTTTCCCTTTCAGAAAGCAGAAGGACACACTGCCTCACAGAATGCATAGCTGGGAAACACCAGGACAAAATCAAATCCCAAACTAATCTTCACATTGAATGCGCGACATGAAAGATGATTTAGTGGTAGTTCAGTCATAAGAAAGACTCCTAAAGCTTTAAGCCTTGTGAGCTACCATCTACTCACTAAAATCAGCTAGTGAAATAAGCCATGTACATTAACAAGACGCATGCAGCTGTATATAGCTGGAGAGAAACACATCTAATGTACTCCATGAGTGCTAAACCCTTAACATTAATTTTTACCTGGCAAAGGTTCATGGGTACCCAGCTGCCGTATGGGAACAATGAAGGCATGCAGCCCTTTGCACTGGCCCTGAGTGTAGAGCTGAGCCAGAACGATGGCATGGTTCGATGTCTTTCCAACTGCAAAAGGAGTGGGAGTCCAAAGGGAAAAAAAAAGTCAACATACTTATATACACAGAATCTCTCTCCTTAAAGCAGGATCTGAGATTACCTTAACGACATCATGTGTTAGAAAACCAGATTTACAACACTGGTTATCATCTGACTTTTACAGCTTGACAAACAAGTTGCTCAAGTCAATAACAGTTGCACAATATGATTCTCTTGACTATACAATACTAAGTCCTTGGCAAACCTGCCAGTGGAGCTGAAGGAAATACAAAGATTTTGATACAACCCATCAAAAATTACACCAAATCCATACAGTGGGAATGATTCTGAGAAACAATTCAGAGCATACAGATAATCCAAAATTTTGGTAGGCTCTGACAACTCTGTTACTTGTTGTGCAAGAGTAACTGCCTTTCAGCCAACTCTTTGGATCAACTTTCAATCATCATTCCATAGATGTAACACACATGACATCACCTCCTTAAGTTTTTCCATACATCTTCCAGATTTAGACACACAGTGATGCACTTACGTCCACCTGGCCACCACTTAATGGAGGTCACAGTAGGGCTATTGAGGATGAATTCCTGGGTAGCAGGGTCGTAAGTAGCTGTAGTTTCTAGACCCCGAAGATGAGTTCCTGAAAATAAGCAAACACATTGTTTTGGCAGAAAGTCAGTCACAAAACAGAGACAAGGACAGAATTGGACAATGGAAAGTTGAACTCCAGTAGTAATGTACAAATTTTAACTTTGCTTTTAGGCTATATAAAGGATTAAATATCAACCAATTAAGGAAGAACAAGTGAGAGTCAGACCATATTCTGGGACCTGAAGCCAATTCTCAGAAAACATGTTGGGTTTCTTTCCCAGTGGTCTAAGACTAGTTTTCCAAGCACCTCCCATCTGACACCTTTTTGCTGTTACACACCAGAAGCCTTTCTCAGTTAAAAAGGTCCACAAAAACACGCTCACCTGGATTTCACTAAAACCGCAATCTGATTAAATTGCAAAATAAAAATCATATACTTTTCAGCCACAAGATGAAATAAGTAGTGCCCATCATCTCTTCATTCCCTCATCAGGCCTACATTCTCCTCACTTGATGGAGCAGTTTTTCCCAAACGAGATCATCCATAGCTCTACGAGAGCAAGTAATGGCATGCCTATGCTAGGGTACCGGATGCAGGTAGATGAAGAGACTGCAAAAAGATGAACATAACAATTCCGGGAACAGTCTTTGTCCTCTGCCCCCAACCCTTTACTTCACATACAGCTGTCTCAGCAGTGGCATTGTCCCTGCATGCGTTAAAAAAAAAAGTCACCTTTGCTTAAACTAGACAAGCTGTGAACACCCCTGATAGTCTGGACTGACAGAGCAAGACAGAGCCAGTGACTCTACACAAGAGCTTCAACATGAAAAAAGATATCACCTTGATGCACCACGTTTCCAAAGCATGGAGTTAATGGTAGACTTCTGCAGGCAGCTTAACACAGACTTAATTTGCTGGTAAAGAATCTTCAAACCTCACTAGTTGCAAGAGATTCTCCACAGACTTGCAGTTACTTTATGCTTCATACAGTCTTTACATTGCATTTCTGCACAAAGGTGAATCCTGCTCATTTTTAGAAAAGAATTATCATCTGCAACTCTCAGATGTCAAAATTAAAGTTTCCCAAGGCATAATATCCTCCATTTGAAACTTGGATTAAAAGCGTTGCAATCACAATACTGCTGGAGTTATCAAAATCCATTTCAAAGCTTGAAAGCAAAGGAATAGCAACAGAGAACAAAGTCTACCTGAGACAGAGAATAAAAAAAAAAAACAAACAAACACCCACAACATTTCATGGTCCAATTAAAAAAAAACACATGGGAGTGAATTAAATAACTGGGGGAATAAAGCTCCCCACAGAACATGAGCATTGGAACCAAGTCAACCACATGTTCTCTGATCCAAGGTAGGTCCCAAGATGACAAGCAACTCTTACTTTTTTGGATATCTTTTTCAGTACCTTAAAGCTCTGTCCTTTTGTCTTCACACTGAACATTAAGTAAAGCAAAGCAGAAATCACACTGGAAAGAATGGTCCGTGTAGAAGTGAACAGATGTCATCAAATTGACATCACCATAGCCATATGCATAATCTATACCAGTTTGAATGGCACAAGAGGAGCACTCAGTATGCTCATATATAGAACTACAGACATCAATCTCTCCCATAGAAGAAAAAAAGGGCAAACAGCACGTGACATAATGATCCATTAAAAATTTCAGAGGCAGTCCGCTTTCCCCTATAGCCACAACCGCATGCGTAAGGACGGTGGGGTAAACACACACCATTTTTCCCAGGCAGGGGAATCCTTTGTACACAAAGCCGTTCTTAGAAATAGCATTTAGTGAATGTACTGTACCATGGCCCATTTCAGTCTGGGCATAAGTGCCAATGATCTCCAGGTTCCAGGCAGGCATGAAGAAGCGATCCTGCTGCTCTGGGGTTGCCTGGGTGAGAAGGGTGGGGAGGAACATGCCCAGATGAAGGTCCAGAGGCTCAGGCCGTCCACGATGAACAAAGCTGTGAAGAAGTGTCATGGGATGGGAGCGTGAAGGGAATGTTATGGGAGGGAAGCAAGCATGAGGATTCATGGTGGAGATTCAGGAAGAGACAAAAAGAAAAAAAAACGATTCATGTGTAAATCAGAATTCAGCCAGTGTATTTTAGAAAGCCAGAGCACTGTCCTTTTCTCAGGCCTGAACAATAAGAAATTACTCTTACTCCAAAATAAACATGCTGCAATGCATTTCTTTCTAATCATACAAAAATGCTTTTGCAACATTCCTGTATTTTTTGATGCACCATGATTGATTAAAAAAAAAAAAGATTAATCCAAACCAAAAGAAAGACCAGACCTTCACTATGGTTTGGAAACTAGAGCATCCCTAAGTTAAATGGGCTGAGTCAGAATGTCAGTTTGTTGAAGATGTGATCTGGCTGGATGAAGCGAGCCTTCACCCAAGATATGAAGTTCACTTTTTTTTTCCCCCCATGGTTTGAGGGTAGAACCTGGTAGAAGTCCCAGTTTATCCAGCTGAACGAGCTAGGTTTTCACTGAACTTTCTTTTTTTAAAAGAGCAAAGTCCTAACTGTCCGTACTATCTACTTCACTTTTTTTTAATTAAAGATCAGACACAACTAGCGTGTATTACATTCCAACTCAAATTCCTTCAACTTTTGCTATTTTTAAAAGCTCTCTTAAAAGGACAGTGCTCTGCATGTATAAGTCAAAGTTGGGAACATAAACAACTTGGCAAGAAAGCCAACATTTTTCAACCTGTAAATCACCAGCACAAAGTCTCTCCAATTAAACACGTTTCATTAGAACTACTCTTCCTCCAAGTTCTGTCAAACACCACTGTTAGGTAGTTAGGTGGTCTATTAAGTTTTTCGATATAAAGAATTAAATGCTTGTTAAATCTTTAAATATTGATGGCTTGGAATATTAAAATAGTGGGGATATAGATTGAGGATCAGTACCTTCTCTACAAAGGTTGTCCATCTGGCACATTTATGTATGAAATAATGTAATTGGTCTTTAACAGAACTATATATATTTAAATGAGATACGTGTTATGGAAAGAGCACTGATCTGAGCTTAGCTCAAACTCCATTGGCATTCTTATCAAAGTGGGAAGAATGCATTCTTGTGTTACCTCTAAACACAGATTAATATGAATTAGCTCTATCCCTAGAGCTTCCTAAGAACTGTAGTTCTTTTCTTTGTTATTCTCAGGCACTTACAAATAAATTCAACCATCTAATAAACCTAGTAGCAATGTTTTCTAAACTTTTTGACTGAACAGTGACCAAGCTCAACAGGGGACTAATGGGTCATCAGGAATACCAGATTTTAAGTCAGTTCAGTACTGGTAAGAAGTACACAGCCGACAGTTAAAGACTGAAAGAAAATCCTTATTTACTAGCAATAGCTATAAACCAGGTAGAAACAGTACAGTGTTTTCATTACTCCTTTTTGTTTCCTTTTCAGCCCTGTGCTATTTGTGCTTTTTCTTTCTTTTATTTTTTCGAGAGATTTATTCACTACAAAATAGGTTAAATCAACACAGGCTATCAAGTAGGTACTCACTAAGATAAAACAGAGTAACTACCCATCCAGGCTAGGATTCAATTCAATAATCCAGAGGTCTGTTTCCCCATCCCCATCACCCATATCTTACTTTCAAAACATCAGGATTAAATTAAGCAGAGCTCAGTGACAATTACTGCGGAAGCTTTACTGATAAAGTAGTTAGATACTCAACATTCACAGCAGGAAGGCCAAACGGTTGCATTTAAATTACTCTGCATGGAAAGTATATTTACTTGACCATACTATCACCATATTAGTTCTATTGTCAAAATACTAATTTTGCCATCAAACAACATGAGAACTATAAGCAAACCAGACCATCACCAGGCAAGAAAGTGCAATGATCTAATGTGAAATAGCAAGTAAAAGAAATCACTTTGGTGTGGATGTGTGTCTGATTTAAAGAAGTTGGTGTGAAAAAGCAAACAAGGTCAGCAGGCATTTATTGTTGCCATCTGGTTGTCTCTCAGCTTCTGGTGTTGAGCTAGGTTTGCTCGCTCCATCTCTCCCAAGCAGAACAATGACGGGATTTCCTCCGTTGCATCTTCTACAAACGTTTCAGCTACTACGAGTAGCTGTAACTGAACAGCCAGGCAATTGGCATTACCATATAACTCTTGCAGTTGTCCAGACTTGTACACATCATACTTTCCAAGTTTAGATGCCAGCACAAGCACTGGAGTCTTTGGTTTGTTAAACTATTCTTGCTGGCTATTTAACAGCCATAATTCCAGGTTCTGGGCTAAAAGACTGATCCATTAAATGTTCTTCTATTTGAAGAAGTAAAAGTCGTTTTCAGCAATAGCAGGAACAAGATGTTTTTCTTCTTTGAAAGCAAGATCTTTCCATGACATTGTACAGCTGCAATGGAGTAGCATCTGGAAGAAAAATGCTTGGGGCAAAGCATACCTTACTTTCAAAAACAAAAACGTGCAATCTCACCCTGCTACACTGCACCTAAAGGTATACTTCTGACCTGTTTACACAGGTTGATTATGAACTAAGAACTGAGACACACATACCCCAAGTTCAGGCAAAAATAAAAACCATAGTACTGTTGACCAACATGTTCCAACCAGTTCAAGTGAAATTCAGACTCTCAGGGCTTAGAACAACCTCCTCATCTTAAAACAAGGTAAAAAACTACAAAGTCAGTGATCAGCTAAGAGGTGCATTCTGGAAAAGACCAAAACTAACCCTGTGATTGTTAGGCTGTGAAATGAAGCAGCTGTCTGGCTATGGGGCAGGAAACATCAACGGTTAACCAAACTATTTTACCTTTCCCCTTTTAGATTTACGTAGGGAGCATCATCAATTTACAAACTGGAGTTACAGAAAAGAGGTTACCCATTGATCCCTGAAAGGAACTAACCATGTCCCATTTCGGTTTGGGCGTAGGTGCCAATTATCTTGACTCCATGGACCAGAGGCAGCCATTTCTCCTTCTGAGCATCAGTCGTTTGGGTCTCTAAGGTTTTTTGAAACATGCTGAAGTGGAGACCGAAAGGTTCAGGAAAACTGCCCAAGCATGTTCTACAGGAGAGAAATAGAGGGATCTGGATCTCAGTCTTACTGTTACTGTGATCCTGAAAGGCTTTTCTCCAACTGTAGCATAAGATAAATAATCTCTTTGCCTATTTCAATCTTTTTTTGTCCCACAAGCAACGTCCAAATATGGAGGCATCAGAGGCAGTGCTAATGGGAATATAAATGTTTCTTTCAGGCATTTTATTCACCCTATGAATCCTGCTATGGCTACGTAACTGGAAAAAAATACTATTCTACAAACATTCATGGGGAACTTAAAACTGAGGACATGAAAACCAAATTATTTTCTCCCCCATTTCAGGCTTGGGGGGAATAAATCCCACTACTGCTAGTAGCCTAGAACTAGGACATATTAGCTAGAAGCACTATGTAGTGAAAAGGAAAAGGCTTCTTAGGTGACCAAGTGCTTTTCAGAAGAGCTCTGTATTACCTGTAGCTGCTTCTATCAGCTGTGAGATCAGGAACTCACCTTCAATTAATATTACTGTTACAGGCTAACACTGGAGAAAATGGAAGGAAAAATCAGACATTTTAGATGTGCTTCATCAAAACAGAAGTTATTTCATGAGAGAAAGCTCTATTAATTTAGTAGCCATGATGGCCAGCAAAGTACATTCCCAATTAAACCATAACACAAACGTGCTAGAAAGTTTCACTGTGTAAAAGCTATGTAGTAAGTGACAGCATCTTCCCTTCAACATTTTGCAGTCTGAACAGTTTTTTCATCTTCCATCTACTATACACAAATGCTTATTCCATCCAAATTCAAAGATGGATGAACAAATGAGTGCTCTGCATGAATACCTACATACAAGATCTCTCCCACCTGCCCAAGACACCTAGAAGGAAAAATATATCCTTCCATCTCAAGGTATTAATACCTGCCCAGGGAGCACATTTAAGTTTGCTGCCAACACAGATCCACACTGCGTAGTGGATGCTATGCATATAGTTTTTCAAATTACAGCAGCATTTCTGATTGGCATTTTATACCATGCCTGGAATGAGTGCCTGGGAGCAGAGAGTAAATAATTGATAATTCAAAACCAGATCCCTATGCAAACTGTGAAAATCAGCCTTAGGGTGAGAGAAAGCAGAACAAAGCTTCTTCAGCAGCACTGAACTGCATGTTGAAGATGCTTCTTTTAAATGGAACAGTTTTTAAATGGACAAGATTGAATGAGCCATGGATTCTTCCAGAAGCAAAACTATTGTCATCAAGTAATCTAATACTGCTGACTAACGTATTAACTGTGCTTTAAGCTGGTGTGAGTGCAGGTACAGTGTCTAGAGTTCTTGGGATCAAGGCAGGCAGTTATCTTACCAGAAAATATTCTATTGCCTACAGCAGCACATATTTACAAACCAGAAGTTATCAGCGTGACCAAGGGCTTAAAAATGCTACAAGAACAGGGAGACAAGAGTATTTTTCAGCATTCTTGTAGTTCCCTACATGGGTTCTTCTTTTACTTCGGGACCCATATAGCAATAGCAGCACCCTCTACTTCCTCACTACCTACAACACAACTACTGTACATCTATTCCTTGGGCCCAAAAGGACAAACATACAGAGAGAAAATGGGCGCTGACTTTGAAATACACCGTTTCAGTGCAGCTTAGGAAGAGACTGAACAGTTCTTTGCGTATTTTCAGAAGCCATTGAAAGAACTTGTGAAAAAGGTGCAGCACATGCTTTGCTGTCAGAAAAATCAGGTCAGACACTGCTTCTTTGAAGGTAACACTCCAGAAAGAAATCTTCTTAAAGGTCACACCAGCAACTTTCACTGCCTATCAGTGAGTTTAATTGCAAGTGCCAGATATTTCATGCTTAACTAGCACCTTCTCTGATAGGAATCAGAAGAATGACATTTGGCAAGCGGATTAACATCCCTGTGTCAGAAGGTCTTACTATTTCACTGAGTAAACGTCCAGCATTTTAACAGCTTCTTGCATTAACAAAGCTGAAAGCAGAACTGAAAGCTAGCTAATTTACAGCAGAAGCTTTTCATCTCTCCATACTCCACACTGAACGATTAGGATTTTCTTAACGTGCCTTTTAACAACTTGAATGACAAGGAGAAAGAATCCGATTTTCCTCATGACACAGGGCAAACAGAAGAGGTACTAGCTGTACAAGGAGGAAAAACAGATTTTTTTCCTTCTTTTTCTTTCTCTGAACTCTTACTCCTTCCTCTCCCAATTTCTACATTCCCACTTGGCTTTTCCCCCTACCTACACAGCTTGTTCTCCAAAGGCTGCGTTGTAAAACTGTTCAAGTACTTTGCTACATCAAGACTGGATGCGGCCAGCTGCATCTAGCACTAGCAATGTGATCAATGACCAAAGATCACCTCATCAGCATGAAGTCAGATCTGCTACGGCAATCAGCGAGTCAAGAGGAGGGCTGCAGTTCCAAATCCACTTACAGGAGAAGGATGTGTAGTAACACGCTACTTTGGCAATACAGATCTTTCCAGATGTCACTGCAACTAACGCCACCCACGCAGAAAAAGGCACTTGTATTTGATAGATGAGTTCGATAGCATATCTATCAGTGAACTGAATACAACAGAAGCAAAGTCTATGTTTTCAGAGACTCCAAAGCTAAATGAACAATTGCAAAGACATTCTCAGGCTGCAGAACTGAGTCACAGAACAGGGTCATTTACTTTAAAGCAAAATCTGCAATCAAACTTCTCTAGCTTTTTGCTGTTCTTGAGGTAACTCTCTCAAGAACGAACATGAAGGATTTCCTCAGTGGAGAAGGAGCCGAGGGTATGTCTGACCTGTGCTTACTGGGCTTCAGAGTTAACAAATGCTATGGTAATAAACTCCTTTTCTAGCTGTATCAAAAAACTCAAGTCAGACTCATCCACTCCAAATTGATTTAACAGTGGCTAGTAGGGCCCTACTACAGTTTTTCTGGTTTGATTTGCTGAAAGCTACTCCAGGTCCTAACTTTAGTGTCAAAATGAGAAGTAGGGACACATTCTCACAGGGAAAGTGCATGTTCATGCAATGCTTATGAACACAGGACTCATCTGTTGACTTGCAGCTCTCAGATCTTCTCTTCTCCTGTGCCCCAGTTTCTCCCAACTGTTTTTCACTTCTTCATTTAATCCCATTTTCCTTGATGAAGGGCATTTAAATTTGAAGGTGAATTAAAACTGACCAGATCACTCTCTTCAAAGAGCTGTGTGGCATTACACATCAGAACAATTTCCCATTTTGCATGCTGACTTACATTTTGCTGCAGTTACACTGTAAAAGAAATCTTAAATATTGGCACTTTAAGGCTGCTGGACTTCATAAGCTGTAGTCACAGCAGCAACTGCAGTGCTGACACATGTTAAGACACAGGAAGAACTGACTAGATGAGAAGCAATTAAAATGGCTTCTAAATATATTTAATAGATTCTCTTATGTTTTGGAGTGCAACAAAGCCCTTGTGGAAACAGGAAGGAGGAACATTCAGTTTGACATGTCACAGCAGCAACAACTGTTTAAGCATATCTCCAGGGCAGCTGAAGGAAGAAGCATTTTTCCTCGCCTATTCATAAATCAAGCTATCAAGTTGGTCAGTCATGATACAGTGAAGGTCTGATAGTAGACAAAAGCTACAGGAAAACAACTAGCTCAAAATTGTCAAAAATTGCATATGTAAATAAATCTGTCCCTGCTGTTTGGGGATAATCACAAGGTGTGAGGGATTATTGGCAAAATATCTTAAGCTTCCATACGTAAAAATCTGATGGTCAATCACTATAAATACAACTTGGCATCTGAATCAAGGACTTCAATCTATTTCATAAACTTCATTCAAGGCATGTCACAACACCATATCCATTCAATTTTCCAGTTTGGAAAAATGAATAAACCCAGAGTTTCTCCAGGTCAGCTTTTACACAAATGAAGTCCCTTCTAGTTAGCACCGATTAGCATTTTTGGATATGTGACAGAAATAAACTTAATTTTGCAAGTTGGGTGGAGTTCACCAAGTTTAAAAAAAATGCTTGACACGCAGCAGGTAAGAAAGTGGGGACAGATGTTAAAACGTAAATAAAATCAAAGGATGAAAAAATAATCCTTTCATTTCTTCCATTTATTAAGAAGCAGGAAGCCAATATCCTCCCTTGCAAACACATTATAGTGACATTATAGTAAAGAATTCAAACCAAGAATATTAACAGTATACAGTTCTTAGAGCAAACAAATTTCACTTGTAGGTAAGAAGTATATGTACTGCTCTTCATTCTTCTACATGTTATTACAGAAGACACTGGAAAATACAGTCAGTCTACAGTAATCACAATTATCTTTTGAAATCCTGAATGTCTGCAATTAGAATTGACTGAAAAAAAGTAAGCCTTCCTCATGTTTCAGTTGACTTTGGATCACGAATTCTGACTAGTCACACCTGACTATCCATATCATATAAGATATGGATGTATTATTTGGTACCTATATGAAATACTAAGCTTTCATCCATTTAAAGTTAAGAATTGCTGACTCCCAAATAAGTTTATGGAAAGACAAAACTAGAATCTATCATTTGACTACTTCAGAAAAGTCCTGTTTTCATAAAATATTGTCAGTCATGCTACCAAAAGACAGCATTTACATTGCAAACTTTGTTGAAATTTGCCAGCTGGTATACTGGATAGACTTCTCTGAATTTTCTCTGTAAAAATAATTAAGAAACTTCCCTATCATCTCCAATAATCCTTGTGTAGGAAAAATTAATGATTAACTTTTGTCATGCGGTACCTGAATAATCTAATACAGTCACTGAACCTTTTTCTTGTTATCATGGTCCACCGATGCCAATTTTCAAAAGAACATTTACATTCCTTCCACGAGAACTTCCATGACACAGGTCAGTGTAGACCGATTTCTTTGAAATTAAAACTACAGCAGACAAGATGATTTCAACTAACTAGTCCCAGTATTCATGCCCTGAGGCCAACGACAGCTTTTCTACAAATCCAGTCAGAAGGGACTTGTGATTTTACCAGTGCATTATTTAGTGTGCAATGTTCATTTAATGTGCCAGAGGATATATTCATGGTACTACGTCCAGTTTTATAGAGCTGTGCAATCTCTCTGTTAAGCGGTTTGTTTGATTATATCAGAATGAGTTTAATAGAACTAAGGGAAGAAATACGTCAAAGTCAGGAACTAAGTTCCCTGCAAGCTGGAAGGAATGAAACTCAGATGTAAAGACAGTTTTATTTTTATTAACTTAATCCAAGGGTAATACTATCAGATAAACAAAAGGTCAGATACAACAAAAAGCCTCTAGGTCAAAGGGAACCAATATAGCACGAGGAGCTTGGAGGAGGAGACAGGACAGAGAGTTATAAACAAAAACTTGTAAGCTATCTTGGAACATTTTCAAGTATGCCTGTAATGCAACTTTATTAGGTCTAAGTGCAAAGTGAAGTAATCAGCTTTCATTAGAAGCTGCAACCTCATCAGATCTATTCAGATTCAAAATATTTCAGTATATTTTTTATTCCTTTGGGGGGGGGGGGGAAATGAGACTACAAGTTCAATTTTTTACTTTCTGCACTATATATAATAAAAAGGGTGTAATTCTTAATGGTGCATTTCTAGTCAAAAATCTAAGAAAATACAATATTCAGGAAATCAGGGTTTCATCTGAAATTCATTGAAGCCAAGACTTTAGTGGGCTTTCGTATAGGTCTTTAGCTTCCTTTGGACAGCAAACATAGGAAAAAAGCACAATTCTAATGTACTTGATCGAAGTACATACAAGAAGCAAACTCTTACCTTTTAAACCAGTAGATCTCCTCTGGATCTGCAATTCCATATTCTCTTAACTTCATCACCATCAGAGAGCTCTTCCTGATGGCTTGCTCATAGCGTTGGCTACGGGACAGAAAGTTCAAATCCTCGTGCTGGAAGTCGGGGTCATTAACAACTAAGGCCTCTGGGGACAGAAGAGGAAAACAAACTCAGTTTCCACAAACCTCAATAGACAGCGGGTGAGAAACAACTCAGCATTTCACTTCCTGTGAAATGTACCTCAAGGTACAGCTATCAGAAAATTAAAAATAAAATCAAAAGTTAATGAAATCAGAAAGAAGTCAAAGCTCTTGGACAGAGGGACTCTAGCAACAGGGCACTCCTCCATTACACACATAAACCACATTTTAAGTTAGGAGCACTCTGGACTTGGCAGGAGGTTAATTCACTGATGCGAGACCCGCAGGCCCCTCAATAACAATCTCAACTCCTCAAATAGCCATTGCTACTGCCGGATCAGACTGCCTCATGAACTTTGATCCCCATACAGCTCCTTGCAGAAGGGGACAGCTATTATTGCCACTATGCCAACTGGAAACCATGGTACCCAGAGGTCACCGCCTTTCTGTGTGTCCTCTGGCACACAAGTTACACAACACCAGCCCCTGACAGTCCAACCCCAGCGTGGGCCGGGAAAAGGAAGAGGATGGAGGTATTTCATTAATCTCACATATCATGGAAGCAGTGGGTGAGAAACAGGTCATATTTGTACTGCTGGGCAAGAGCGTACTAGGAAGGAAACAGGAGGGGAGAGGGCCCAAGAGCAATGCCCATGGGAAGGTGCCTCTCACCCTCACCTGGAGGAAGGAGAAAGACAGAGGTAAAAGGACATCGCTCTATCAGGGCCACCCCAAACCCTTTCTGGGAAGGGGAGAGAAGGGGGGTCAGGGACATAACGCTGCTGCTGCTCCCCTCTAACCCACAAAACCCCTTCCTTCAGGCAGCCCCCTCCACCTGCAGGCACTCTCCTCACAGCTCTCCCCTCTCCCTGGAGTCTCCCCTCTCCCCAAAAGCCCC